AGTAAGCCTGAGGCTTCTGTCCCCGCGATCCGAAGTATATTGAGGGCCTTGAACATGAATGAAAGGTGAAACATGAAGAATGCCTTGAACATGAAGAAGACGCCGAAATTCACTGATGACCACAGACGTCTGGGTGTAATAATCTTATGTCTTCATACTTAATGGGTCTTCAAACGGCCGAGTTGCCGATATTAGTGATTTCCAACCTTGGTTCTTTGTATTCGTCTCCTGGCAGAAATATCCCATTTTATCTCCTTTGCATTAGCCAGAATGTCGCTCTCACCATCTTTGGTACTTCCGCAACGGGCTACTTTCCGGTATGTACGTGAATTCGCTTGACATTCTATGCGAGACAATGCTTTTCTGTTATTTGGATCAGCGGGAAGTTTAAATGGTTCCATTTGGTCCTTGGTCAATTAACCTCTGTATTAATAAGACTGTGCCGGGTTTTTCGAAGCGTCGTAGGTCGGTCAGCGACTTTGCTGTAAAAATGTCTGTTTGAATCTTTCTGTCAACGCAGTTGGCCTACCATATCAACGTATCACGACGGCAGTTGCGACAGACGTTAGCAACGCCACGGCAGCCTATGCTGAGAAGGTTTTGGACGATTCGGTTTCGACACATCAATCGTATGACGTTCTCGACAGCTGCAGATCGAGTGCGAATGCAACGCTTAAAGTTTCACTCTATCTACGTCGGAATTGAAACTTACAAGCGCTCACTCATCCCTCACTCAGTCTGAATTTTCCGGAATTGAGCCACCTTCAGAAGCCTTGTGCAGTCGAACCTGTCATCAGTAATCCGTGCTACATGTCTTACTGTGTCAAACCCGTCTGATCTACCAACTGTAGCAATGAACTTGGCTTGACTTGACTAAAACGCAGTCTTTCATTTATTCATTCACGTCTTTTCGTCTACATATGAATAGTAAGTATAGTTAGACTCTGTCTGATAATTTCGAGACAGCCATAAGCTATTTTTGTAGTGGACAATGGTCCCTTCGTTTCAGCTCCATTACAATTACATGATCGGTCTTGGTAAGAAAGATTTATTGGAGTTAGTCGCAGTTGAATAGTGTGAATTTGCAAGATTAAACCTATCGTGTAATCCCGCATGATCGTTGATGCCCGTGATACTTAAGCCATTGGACAGACTTGGCGTTTCTGATATACATGCTGGACGTCGTTAGTCTCCGTATCCCTTTAAGGGGCGATGTCACGTCTTGCACTGTTGCATGGTATCGGGTCTTGAAGAACGATCTTTACTTTTGATAGGTGCATGGTTGCACATTGGGAGCCATTCGAGCGCTTGGAACATCGTTCGTCAGAAGCATGAAGTTGGCGTAGCAGACAAAACGAGGCAAGATGCATTTTGCACTGCAGGCGCTCAAATACCATTGAGCCACAACGTGTTTAGTTGATTTAATAGGCACCTGTGAGCAAAGGGCGGCGTAGTACACCGTCAGATCTAACCTCGGAGTAGTCATTCACCCGCAGCCATGCAGAACTCTTCTAGCTCATATTTATGACTAACGAAAGATGCCGCTTTTCGATGAAACGTGCCACGCTAACACTGCATTTGTTACTTAAATTTTTTTTGCTATCCCCAACATAACAGATTTGAAGTCTACTTTATCAGTGACACTCCAGCAGTGCTATTTTGCCTTGAATGACAACGTAAAAGCCTTAAAACTTGGAACTGAAATGAGCAACTACACTTGGTAATGAAAGTATCAGAATCTGCTTGATTTGGAGCCATTAACCATGAATCTGCAGTGCTTCTGTAATGGACTCAAAATCGGAAATTTGTTTGACGCATTTTAATGAACGTTTTTAGACCGGCTTGGTCGCTTGTAAACGTTGTTAAAGACATTTCGTAATGTCATAAATTCTATCACAGTGATGTAGGCACAACCATTGACGAAAAATTTACACTAAGGAACGGTATGGTGGTGGTACTTTTTTAGCTTCGATATAAATTGCTAGACGGGTGGTTAAGGAACCGAAGATATAGACTCAGTTATAATGAGGAAATAGGATCAAACGAAAATTGGCATTCCATGTCTGTTTGCTATACTCTCTGAAATTACATTTAGCAGGCATGCTGAAGTTTTCGATTTCAGTCTGTACTGAAAACTTGAGCCATAATCATTGAATGGTTACTTGTGGTTAATTAGTATGTGGTAGAGGACAGCTACTGATTTACTCTTGATAGTGAGGCTTAACTGACTTTTCCTTCCATCCTTTTTGTGGTTTAAATCGTCTTTCATTCAGTCGTTTCCCAGCTTCATTCCACATTTTTGGTTGTTGTTTCTCACTCACCATAGTAAATTCCTTCTGCTGCTTCTTGCAGGGCTTCCAGTACCACATGTGCAATGAAACTCTGGCTCAGTGCGAACAGGTTTTTCGTGTTCTGGACGTAAACGGCGACGGCTACTTGACTCCGGATGACCTCAGCCGAAAGATGTTGCGCCTAGGCATACCTCACTCTAGCGAGGACGTTGTCCACGCGGTCAAAGAACTCGCTGGAGACGGTAACCATTTTGTCGTAGTTTTCTTTGCAAGTGTTGAAAGTGATGATGTTTTTTTAGATAGTAACGAGATAGAGTTCGACGATCTGATCCACCTGATGACGTACGAAACTGAGTCCGGCGAAGAACTGACGGAACTGCAAGAAACTTTTAAGGTAAGTGAAATGCACCCGCCTACTTGCCTGTTGATGTTCGCTTTCAAACAGCGTTTGTGACAGCAGTCACAGTGTCCAACGTGAAAGTAGATTGCTGGTTGTAATTGCCATACAGATGCAGATGCCGCTATCAGCAATAAGATTTGTTGTTCTAGGGCAGTGACGATGATCACAAATGATATGTTTAAATTTACGATTTATGCCTTGTGTTATTATTAGTAAACTGTTAGGTAGGTAAAGGCATAGCACGCACACACCAAAGAGTATAGCCATAAGTTTGGCCAGCTGTGAAATGGTTACACCAGAACGTATGCTTTCACTGTTATTTGCAGATCAGTGCGTCGCTACTCGTTTCTTGTTTGGTTGCACCGATGAATTCATAAGATGATGAATTGCTGATTCACAGGGAAGGGGGGGGGGCATTAACTAATACGAAAGTCTACGCGGCACTGCTACTTGAACTCCCATCCTCACAGTGTTAAAGTGCAAATTTAAGCTACTAAATCCCACTGCGCCACTGCGGTGCATAATGAGGTAGGCCATGTTATTCAGCAGCGTATGGGAAAGATAAGAATCACCGCGTATTCTTTGTATTTACCTGCCTGTGCTGTCGGATGATGGGAAATCTGTACCCCTTGTTGCAAACTAAGGTGG